GGACACTGCACAGACCTGATAGTTTTTAGTAATAAGTACATATTAATTCTAATTTGCATAATTAATTAATTTTCAGCTTTTGTCAAGTAGTGAGCATTACATTTCAATGAAACTTGGTACTTACATACTCAAGGACTATGCAGAGATTGATTGTTTCGGATAAATATTTGTGCATATTAATCACCTAATTTGCATAATTAGTTAATTTTCAGCTTTTCCACGGGTATCTCAAGTACTAATCATCGCATTTCAATGAAACTTGGTACATAGATCCTTTATGACTATGCAGAGACCTGATTAGTTTCAGGGTAAAAATAACTGTGCATATTAATTACCTAATTTGCATAATTAATTTTCAGCTTTTCTACTGATATCTAAAGTACTAATCATCACATTTCAATGAATCTAGAATTATGCAGAGACCCAATTAGTTTTTGGTAAATATTTGTGCATATTAATCACCTAATTTGCATAATTAACCAATTTCCAACTTTCACACTGATATCTCAGGTACTAATCATCACATATCAATGAATGTTTATACATGGATGCTGTAGGACAATAGACAGACCTGGATAATTGTGGGTTAAAATCTGTACATATTAATTACCCAATTTGGATAATTAACCAATTTTAAGCTTTCACACTGATATCTAAAGTACTAATTTCCATTTTAATGAAACTTTATAATAGTACAAAGATGCTCTAGGACAATGTACAAACCTAATTAGTTTGGGGTAAAACTCTGTTCATATTATTTCCCTAATTAGCATAATAATTCATAATTTTTTGGTTCTAATCACATTTCAATTAAACTTGGTACATGTACATAGAGTTTTTGTTACATTGCGCAGACCTCATTAGTTTTACAATCAAAACTGTTCATGTTAATTTTCTGATTTGCATAATTAGTTTTCAGCTAATTAATTTCAAATTATATTTAATGTGTCTCCAATACTCTCAGCACATGGGAGTTCTTTCTAAGCTTTCTTTGATTTGAATTTGTGATGACAAGATGAAACTGGTGGTGAAAAGGTTAAATTACATAAGATTTTATCTTATTAGACCAATCTGATAAAATTGAACATCCATGGAAAGTTTCCTTCAAATAAATAACAAAGAGCAAATAAAAAACAATACCTGAAATGGTGCCATTGAAAACAGTAATGTTGTGATTTACCCTATGGGATTAAACTTTACTTTGGCAGCCATTTTGGATTGGAGAATGGGTAAATTACATTTCAAAGGAGCCTTATAATTCAGTAACTAGTTATTGTCTTCGTAATTTGAAATATTCAATAAAAAATTTCTTTTTCAAAAGTATGTTAACTATAATCATTCTTAATCCTACTTTGTACTTATGTTGCCTTATTTTCAGCAGTCCAATAAATGACCCAGCATCGACAGAGGAAATTGAGCTTCAAGCATCTACATCAAAACAAACAACAGCTGATACAAGTCATGATGAACCCCTCAACACAACATTGGTAGGTAAAACTAAACGAAGATTTAAATTTTTGTGGTAGTAACTAAATAGTTTAGTTTAGCATAGATTTATCCCTAGAACTGCCAAGCGTAGATACAACTAAAACTAAGAAGTCTTGTGACTGCTGCAATGATTGGTGGCATAGGGGATATGTTACAGTGCTTGATATTTATTTAGTTTTAACAGCTAGTTAAATAAATGGTTTTGTCAGTAGACTATTCTTGTTTTCACACTCTTAAGGGTACAGAGAGCACTATTTCAACAGCTGCATTTTACTGTTGAACAAAGAGTGCCCTCGCTGTTAAGACTTTGAAATGGTCTACTGTGCTGTAGATTTTCAATGTGTTTGTAGTTATGACTGTGTATAATAGACTCAAATAAAAATCACTCAGTTGACAACATTATAAATGTCTGCACTGAATACAAACTTGACTAAATTTGGATTTGGACTGATTTCACTGATTTGAATATTTTGTGGCATCGTAAACATAATTATGACTGAAACAGTTTGAATTGGTTAGAAATCTACAATATTAACCAGCATTTCAACATTGATTCTGAAGTACAACCTTATACTACAGAACTGAATATGCCGATACCACACACTGGAGTTTATTTACTTATTAAGGGACGACGTCAAAAGATCGATGTCAGATAAAAAACTTAATTCTTTTAGTTTTTTCCCAAAACCCCCCACCCCCCACTGAAACTTAATTGATAATTTTTATATTGATCATGGCGTCAGACTACATTCACCAATAAATACAAATTGATAATTGGACAGCAGTATGGCATAGCAGTTGGTTGTAATAATGAAGCGGAATATACGCATGCACAAAATAATTTTCTGGGTTCTGCGCATGCTTTAGGTCCATGCTCTGAAATTGACCTCATTTGACACACATATTTACACTCGGACCAAACCATTTTCTCGTCTTGGGTGTCTTTTTTTTCATTTTCTGTTATTTTTGTCTATGATTGGATAGAAAAAAACGAACTACAAATACTCCAAGGTTTTTTTGACTTCATTAAAAAATAAAATCGTTTTTGTAGGATGGAAACTTTTTGAAGTCAAACCCTCACCACTACCAATCCCTCGCCCCACCCCACCCCACCCCCAAGCTAAAGCAAATAAGTTTTTTATCCAACATCGATCTTTTGACGTCGTCCCTAACTCCAATTTACTTTATCAGATTTGTCCTCTGTCTTTTATCCACAGTCACCCCTGTTGTACTTGACCTTACATATTAACCTTTAACCTTTGACACATGCTGTAATTGTTAGTGCATGATGTAGATAATGCGTTTTATCATCCTGTCAGATTCAGTCATCGGATCAATCTACTGACATATATTGTTGTATGTGTGCAACTGTATTGCTCATTGTTATTACTTGTACACATCAAATAAAATATAACTGGGCTCTCAAAATTATTGGGGAACCAGAAGAAAGATTACTGTTTGCTTACTGTCGAGAATAGCTGGAGTTCCTGATGACTGATTCTGACATGATTTTCTCTGTCTTTTCTGTCTTGTATCTCAGTCCTTTCTACTAAGTCTGATTTGTAACATGTTTTGTCTTATTCTTAATACTTTTCTTCTGAACCTTTTTCTGAATCTTTATTTAATGAGTTAAGGGTACTTATTGTAGTTCTTCTCATAACCAAGTAATAGTAACTGTATTTATGTCACCTTAGTTTGTCATATATATGTAAGAGGAGCATGTATGATGTCTTTAACTCTTCCATTGCCAGAATTTGTCCCTTCTCGTCAGAATGCTATTTTGTTGCAGTTTCTTCATCATCGCTTGCTACATTGTTTCTGCCCCTGGTATAAATAGAAAATTGTTTGATTGTGAATAAATATGATGTAATTGTTACAAATAACAGTAATATGATGTAATTGTTACAAATAACAGTGACAGTTGTAACATATTTGAACACATTACACAGAAGGTGACAACAGCTGTCTCTGTAAGAGTGAAAGATATTACAAGATATTATTTTGTTTTATTCTTGATGATGAATATTACTATGATAACCATGCCATATGTTTTTGAGAGAACTAATGTATAACGTCCTTCTTCTTAAAAAGAAATTGCACAAAATATTTAAGAAATATACATCATTTTATTCTAGCTTCTTCTAAAATTTCCAATATTTGTATTTGGAAAAACATTTTTGGTTCTTAATTCCATCAGTTTTAAATTGCAGCAACATCTATAAAACTTGCATTTGTTTTAATACTTGTTTGTTGAATATTAAAAAAACAGTTAGACATCAGGACAGCAAAATATGAGTACACACTGTTTTGTCTTCTGGTAGAAATTCTCAACTAAGGCTAAGACAAATAGCAAAAAATACCCTGATAAATTCAATCTGCTAAAAATATTAGTATTGAAAGCCCAGAAAATGAAGTGAGAAACTTACACTACATTTACACATCTGATCAAAGATGTATCATTGTAAGACTTGACAGTTTACCCAAGATGTATTAGCCTATTAAAACAAGAAATATGAGGATAATTATGTTAATATCAACTAGTTTGGTCACTGGGCATAGTTCACACTAACCATTAGACATATAATTCGAATATAATGAATATAAATTATGTCGGTATGTCAGTGTTTTGTGAATATCACTGCCTCTCTGTTATGTCCTCATGCATGCAATTAGTGTAAGTGGTTTATGTTCAGTGCATGAGTTTACCTTGTAAATAGGTAATAGTTTACTGTGATCATCACTAGTTAACCCTAGTAGTGATAACCATTAACAATTTGTATTATTATTCCTAAAGAGTACTATTAACCCTACAGTTTAGCAACCTTACTTTAACAGTCTACTTTAGTTAGTGTGAGTCTTCACTAGTTAGTAGAGACTGTTGGTATATTATAATTATTCCTGTCAAAGAGAAGTACTGTAAAATCTGTATCAGAAGCTGCGACTTCTATTAAAATGTTACAATGCAAAAGAGGTTATGCGGCTTCTATTAGAGCATCTAGACAAATGAGAAAAAACGGTTTTTTAGTTCTCAATTGTTTAAAAAGAATAGGTGCGACTTCTATTAGGGATGTGGCTTCTAATACAGATTTTACGGTAACTCAACTCCTCCTAACAATGGCAACCCTGGTCAAAACTAATTATATTAGTTATCTCTAAAAGTTAATAGTGTTAACAAATTGTTAATGGTCAACTTTAGTCATATTGTGTCCTGAAATTCATTTTTTTATCTATTCAAAGGTGACTGAAAACTCTAATACAACTTGGCTTTGACAAGAGACAATAACTATATATCCTGCCTCTATGTCACTTGACATTCACATAAACTGTCAAATACACCAAGTGACCATCCAATCATCTATATTTGAACTCCATCACAAATACAATGGTTTTCTTCAAAATATTAGCAGCAATATTCCACACATTTCTGTACTTTTCTTTACTATGTTATATTTTGGTGGAAGAGTGCAATTGATCTAATTTGTTATCTTGACCATAAACTTGTGCATGTTGAAATTTGTGAATATTGTCATGGGTTTTATTGGAAATTAAAAATGATGCAGAAAGCCAGTTTTGTGTCTGAATAAACCATTTTAAGCATTAGGAAATCATCTTGCAGAGATTAGAATGCAGTCTCATTTATAAAACAGTAGATTTCATTGAAAAATACAAGCTAAGATTGCATGGATATGTATATCTTTGCGCCAGAGATTTGCTCCATTGTGTAAGGATTCATGGCAGTAAGGTGACCATACCCATATAACTAGGGATGCCAATGAGAAGTGGTCTCTTTTTATACAAATCTAAGGATACAAATTCATTGAATGATACAAGCTGGAGTTGATTTGCATGTATTTTCCGGGTATCAGGGTTTGCTCCATTGTGTTGGGATTCATGGCAGTAAGGTGACCATATACATATAACTAAGGACTCCAATTGGAATTGGTATCTTTATATACACACCTAAGGGAGCCATCTGTAAAAAACATCAATAAATAAATCTCATCTCTAAATAATGTTGTCTGACTATGGTGTATGTTCATAATGTCACTGTCTAAGTCAGTAAATAATAACCAGTTTTGTACAGGTGTACAATTTGCATATCAGTTGTTGAGCTTCCCTAAGTGTGTGAATATGACCACTTCCTTTCCCTGCATCTCATGATTCCACTTGTCCCATATCATTATAACTTATCGTTTGCTTGCTTCTTTCTCTCTTCCAGTGAATTCACTCGTCAAGACATGCATGACAATTCCACTGACAGAGAGAATACTAATTATTGCCAGGTGTACATCATTTAATTAAAAGCAGCTTTTTTTTAACATTTTTACCATGAAATGGGTTATCTTTGGCTGGTAGGGTATTCATTATTCATTATGTAACATTATCTTGTGTGTTCGTTTCTTCAGATATTTGTAGTTGCAATGCTCTCCTACCAAGCCAATTAACTGCAATTTTTCAATACAAATCTGGAAACTTACAAATGAGAAAACAATTTCCTCTCATTTAGAGCTTGTTGACAGTGACAATAGATTTTGAGATTTAGTCATGTGACCAATGTAAGAAACCTTTCTGCTTGTTAGTGTTGAGGGTGTAATCATACCATGCCATGCAGGAAGCAATGTAATGCTATTTCTGTCAGAATTTATTTTGGACCTAGATTTGGCATTAACAAATAAAATTTTGAATTATTCAACATTTTTATATTGGAAAAGATATTAACAAAGACTTATGAAGGTTTCAAAGTTGAAATAGCAGTGACAGCTGTAATACCTGAAACGACATCTATTGACCCTGTCAACATGTTACGCACTATCAGTCATGTGCAGATGTTCATATTGATTTATCAGACTTCACATCATTTATTATCATTTACAGCATTCTGCATCCCCTGGCTCATTATTGTTTATGTCCATGGAGAAAACACTACAGCTGATCAAATTTATTATTTGTACAATATTTATTTATTGCCTTTTAACAATGTCAAATAATGAAGAAAAATCTGCAAAGTGATGTGGTCAGTAACTGCTTATATCCTGCGATGCCCTGCCAACTACGCCCTTATGTACAGTTGTACTTACATCTCTACTGCTGTGCATTTTTACTGGGTTTTAAATTCTTATGTTTCACACTGAAGGAATAAATACTACCATCATAATTTCATATATTTGTATAGACTTGCTTACAAGTCGTATTGTTCTTTTCAGAAATAAAAAAAATAAAGAGATAAATAAAGAAAAAGGTCTTGAAAATATCAAAATTACAAAACAACAACTTGTGTTTCTAATGTGCACTTTAATTGGCATTGGTTAACCGACAACCTATCTAGATCTATTTCTGTAACAACCAGATTAAGCCAGTCAGGAACTGCTAATATGCTAACAAAACAAAACAAATCTTGTCAGCTTCGTTATTTTTTTCTCTTCACACTCAGCTACACAGGCATCTGTGACTGTCAGTGATTGGTTGATTGATGGGCCTACAGCAGTGTAGTTTGAATGTGTTACCATGACAATGTGATATGCAAATATTAGTTTATGAATATTATTAGCAATTCAAAAAAGAAATGCAAGTTGTTTGTTGTTTAGGATCACTCTTCATTTTCGGGAACATTGGAATATTATGTATTAGCCATTTTTATGTTTTTATTTTTGAAAAAAACATTGAGATATAAAGCAAGTCTAATGTGAATTTAAAATGCAGTGAATAATGAATACATTTACAGTATTAAGAATCGTCTCAAGCCAAGAACAAAAGGTACTGAAAATATTGTTAGGTTTTACAGAGAGTTTGTTTGGCATGATTGAGTAATACCAGATGAATTTCTGAAGTTCTTAGTGGTTGATAACTATAATTATGATGTACCGGTACATTTTCTTTACAACTTTTGCGAGTTTTTTTAAGTAGTCCATTGTCAATTAAGATATCATACGTTGCATATATATCACAGTCAATGGCTGTTACCCGACAGTATTTCCCAACAAAATGTAAATTTTCTTTTTTTACTCCATCCATGCATTACTGAGCCAAAATTACCAGATGAGAAAAGAAAGGGTACTGTATTTTCTCTTTTACCGGTAGTAGAGCGTAAATTACATAACTTTGTTCAAAATAAGTCATTTTAAAGATCCAGCATTTCAATAAATGCTATTTTTGGTTCATGTTTTCTACTTTTGGAGATGTACTTCTAATAAAGTCAGATCATGTTAATGTTATGTTAATAAGCATGCAAATAGCTAGAAGTAAAGTGTTCTTTATACAGAATTGACCTTTGAGGTGTTTAATTGTTGTTTACATGTGTATTACCTGATCATTTTACAACTTGTGTATTCATTTGCTAGCACTAAGAGCATTTTGGCTCAATATTACATCAATTGAAAAATTCTGCAAAAAAACACAGCTTTGTGGTCGTTTGAAAAAAAAAGAACTGGTATAAAATAAAATTATGGTGGTGAGCTCTGTATTTCAATGCTCAATGCTAGACTGCACCAATTAAATTGGCAATGCTGGACTGCTGGTAAAAAAACTACATTTTTTATTTCAGTCACTGCATTGAAGATTGTGCTCCTAATTTTCTTTGAATCGAAAATGTTGAAGGTTGTCAAAATATCTGATCTTGTGTAAAAAGTTATAAATCAAAGATAACTAAAATTATATAGGATTGTGTAAAATTATGAACCAAGGGTCACTGAATCAAACCTTGAGTTAAAGGTTATCCAAACAGTTGCAGACTTCAACAAGATCTGTGAAAGTGAAGGTCATGTCATAGTATATTCTCCTATTTGAGTAATGAATATAAAAACTGGGGTTTTCCTATCATGTGTTGAAGAGAATGTTATTATTAATACCTTTTTGTTCAAATATGCCAAGTGGTGATATTAAGCAATTTGGGAAATGAATTGTCTCGTCTGTAAATATTTTTCTTTTCTGAAACTTCTTATATTTATGTAAATATTGAGAAAAATGCTTAAATGTGAATTTTTGTTGCTTAATTCATAGTTATACATTTTTTTTACCAAGCCAAGGCCATCCATTCCCAGATAGTTAAGTCATTTATGTGTTGCTCTTATTTATAGTCATTGCAATATAGGATTTTTTGATGAGGTAAAAAGGAAAGATTCATGTAAATAATATTTTTTTCATGATTATATTTTTTTTTTCTTTTTTCTCGTACATATTTGTCCTTTCAGAATGTACCACTATGGAAAACATTTCTTCATTTGAGCACAAGGGGGTGTATTAATTGCACCCTCTCGTGTTCGTATTTAATTATCCAGTATGTTGGCTAATCTGGAATGACTTTTTATGTATTGTATCATTCTTACGATGCAACTGCTACTTTTTTTCATAAACTAGAACTGCCTAGGCAAGATGCCCAGCAGAAATGTCTAATTAGAAACAATGTGCCTAGATGAAGAATGACCATATAGACCACTTTCCCGGAAGTAGTAAGACTGAGCTGCAAGCAAGATGCCTGCCATTTTCATGGGGTCAGCTACAAATATGTCTGTTTGCACACGCATGCAAAACTTCTTGAAAGTGGTGTATCAAATCATAAACATAAACAGCATCTGAATGGATGACAGTTTTTGGAATTGGATAATTTTTATTGAAATATTGTTATTTGTTGCACATTTACTTTGCCCGTCTTACATAAGGTGGGACACCACTCACTTACTTTGCCTGTCTTATATTAAGATAGACCTGTTCTGACGTATTGTAAAACTATCTGTAATAATGTGAGAATAAATTATAAACTTGCTTCCTGAATAAAAGAAATATGTTCTTGTGTACAGTTAATCAATTCTGATAGTTGGTGAATGTATGTGTGTTGAATGAGGATTGGGACCTAGTATGGAACGATCATGCAAAAATTTTAAATATGTATACCAGTAACATGTTTCATACAAGTACTGGGGTATTAGCAGTTTAACAGTCCTTTCAAAAAGACCGTCTGATGAAAATATAAGTTGTAAAATACATCAAAATTTGGCATTATCTACAATTCCAGATCACAGATGTGCGTGCGTGCGTGCGTGCGTGCGTGCGTGTGCGTGCGTGCGTGTGTGTCTGTCTGTCTGTGTGCCTGTCTGTGTGCCTGTCTGTGTGTCTGTCTGTCTGTGTGTGTGTCTGTCTGTCTGTCTGTGTGTGTGTCTGTGTGTTTGTCTGTGTGTGTCTGTGTTTGTGTTCCACTGATATCTCAAGAACCATACAACAGTTTTTGATGAAACTTGGTGCATAGATGCTCTGGGCCAATGCGCAGATTTGATTAGGTTTTGGTAAAAATCCTATGCATATTAATTACCTATTTTGCATGATAATTAGCTGCTTTTTGGCTGTTTCATGACTGTTCCACGGATATCTAAAGAACCACTCATTGGATTTTGATGAAACTTGGCACACAGATGCTCCAAACTAATGTGCAGATTTGATTAGATTTGGGTAAAAATCTGTGCAATGTTAATTACCTAATTTGCATAATGATTAATCAATTTTCGGCTTTTCCACTGATATCTCAAGTACTAATCATCACATTTCAATAAAACTTGGTACATAGATGTCATAGGACACTGCACAAACCTGAAAGTTTTTAGGGTAATATCTGTAGATATTAATTACCTAATTAGCATAATTAATTAATTTTCAGCTTTTGATATTTCAAGTAGTAATTGTCACATTTCAATGAAACTTGGTACATAGATGTCATAGGACACTGCACAGACCTGATAGTTTTTAGGGTAATATGAGTACATATTAATTACCTAATTTGCATAATTAATTTTCAGCTTTTGATATTTCAAGTACTAATCATCACATTTCAATGACACTTGGTACATAGATGTCAT